ATAATACAGCTCTACAAAATGTTCATAACTTAAATTATGTGAAGTGAAATACTAATCCAAAAATAGAATCCATTCCCCAACTTAGAAGAACTACGTTATTTATCTTTTATAACTAATAATGATATGTTCACCAAAAGTATGACAATCAAAGGTGTTACTAATGCATGCGATTTTTCTTGCTTTATCACTGTTAAGCACAAGTAAATAAGAAAATATTTTTATCTTTTTAACAAATATAGTGTGGTGAAATTTTACAAAAAAAAAAAAAAAAAAAAAAAAAAAAAAGTCAATTATTTTTGTATGTTTAATTTCATACTTACTATGTTTCTGTCTGAACTTTCAATTTATTTTATTAAAAAGACCACTAGCTAGAAAATAGAATCTCTATTATTTGGCTTTGCACTTAAGTGTTTTTTAATGCAAAATTTTGAAATTCAGTCATCTGAATTCATTTTTTCTATAATAAATTTGATTTGATTTCTTCAGCCATGTTACAGGCATAGTTTGGGTAAAAGTATAGTTTAGGGTACCCCTTGGCGAAACTTGGCAATTTTTGGTGGTACATGGATACCGATTTTGTGCAATTCCTTGACTCGTTATTTTGGCTTGCGAAACGGCGATTTTTGCGCCAATCGCCGCTAGACAAAGCCAGAATAACAAGACGAACAATTGCACAAACTCGGTATCCATGTACACATCGACTTATTTTCACTTAAAAAAAAATCCCTGAATTGCACAAAAATGGCATTGCGCATTCCTTTGACTTTATCCATGTACACATCGGCCTATTTTCACTTTAAAAAAATCCTAGAATTGCACAAAAATGGCATTGTGCACTCTTTTAACTTTATCCATGTACACGTCGACCTATTTTCACTTAAAAAAATCCCAGAATCGCACAAACTTGCATTGTGCACTCCCTTGACTTTGTCCATGTACACATCGATATATTTTCACTTAAAAAGTTAAAGCAGCACCAAATTCTACAATATAGGCAAACAAAAAATATATAATCTCAATAACATACATTTTAAACGAAACAATAAAATAACATAAAAAAGGAAAAACATGTTATACTTTAAGACACTACCAAAAGCAAATATTCACTTACCATGATTTTCGAGTTCGCTTCGTACACCCAGAGCCACGTAAAAGTCAAAATAGCAATCATACTCAAATGACTTTTTTCAAACCAGGTACTCTTTCTGATCGAATGCTTCACATAGTGACCATCTGAACCTTTCCTCCTACAAACCCATTCAAATCCATCTAAACGGTTTTTACGTTCGACTAGACGCATATCCTTCCTACATACAGGACACTTATAATGGCTACTAAATAAACTTTCATTTACACACCAGTCAATTAAAGCTCTTTTCCAAATCTTCTTCTTTTGTTCCAAATCGTACAGAAACTTCAAATTAATTTTACTATATTCGGCCATTCTACCGCCTAAAGAATCAAACCAACACACACCACAAAAATGCTTACAAAACATCCCACGATTCAAAATTTTCCAGAATCATGCACCCGATTACGTCACAATAGAGTTTCCATAACATCCAACTACTCAGGCTACCATAAATGAAACAACAACTTGGTGATAAATCAAACAACAACTTCACCATAATACAAGGGTACCCCTTGTAAAGTCTTACTCTACCCCATAGTTTGATTTTAAATTAAAATTCTAACCTCAAAATCCCATCTGCTTATCAAATTAGAGCAAAACGGTATTATAAATATGCATGTTGTATGGAAATTTCCTCAATTTTGTGCTTAGAATAGTGGCTGTAGTTCTGTTTGCATGTGATATTAAGTGTTTACTTTTTCTCAATACTTTGAAAATCAACATGTCGGACCCTTCTTGTATAAACTCATTACTAACATCTTAAGTTTGCATACTACTACTAAGTGTACTAAAAATATGCCCACAAATAATTTTTTTCCATTATTTCCATGCCTAGTACTTTGTAGCCTGTGATTTATATTATTACACTCATAGCAAATCAATCAGGAATTTCAAAACTTGAAATATGCTATTGAGCAATCAAAAAATTATAATTAGCCTTCATTCTCCAAAATAGACCACAAAGGATAATTTAATTCAAAATTGAATGTTTTAAATCTACCTACTATATTTAAACTTTATTGAAACTTGAAATATATAGTTATCTTTTATAATTTATTTACATATTTTAAATTATGCTCACTTTTTATATTATCAAATCTATAAATTATATATGAAAAAAGCTCAGTTTAAAATATCCAAATTCCTTCTACTGAAATGTTCCACATGATTCTGATTGCATTGTATTTGCATGTACACTTTAAATGATTCTCATGATGAAGTATTCATTTAATTATGGATAGGTTATTGAAATTTCAGTTTTTATAAATAAATCATATTTCAAATAATTTTTGTGCGAGTAATATACTACAGTAATATATACATATATATAGGGGGTCATGTTTAAAAAGCAACCCAGTGTTTAATTGAAAACTTACACATAAAACTCTGAGCAAGCACGTATGTAAACTGCTGTTTAGTGCTTGATATAATTAGTATAATCTTCCTTAATGTAAGATTCCATTTTTTTCACAATGTTTCTTGCTATCTACTTTTTTTAAGATTTGTACTGAATACATTTTATAGCCTCTGGAATACTGACTGTAACAGCTTCTGAGATTTGTCACTATAAGCTTTGTTTTGAAGCTAACCCCATGAGAATAAGGCTGATGGAATTAACTTATGGCCACTGGAGATCTCATAATTTCCAAAATATACATTCTTCTTGTAAAAAACTGTGGTTAATCTTTGGATTATGGTAACTTGGCGATTTTTGGCGAAATTTTGGGAACCAACCCTGCTACAGCAACCTGCTAGTTTTTGTTTGGATGCCATTTTGTTTTTATGAAGTAAAGGCATGTCTTCCCCCCCCTCAACATTTTTTTCTAACAATCTGCTATCCGATTTATGCTTATGCTAGAAATTTTATGGAACAAAAGTGCTTAATCATGACGAAGATTAGGTGCGAAATTGGGAGAAAGTGCAGAATCGCAAACTGCTTGCCGCATTTTTAAGAATTGCACATACACGGTAACTATGAACACGTCGACCTATTTTCACTTAAAACAAATCCCAGAATTGCACAAAAATGGCATTGCGCACACTCTTGACTTTATCCATGTACACAGTCCTAGCTAGTAACCTTTATCGCCTTACTAAAATGTCGCCAAACTACCTGTTACCATATTCCAAAGATTAGCCAAAACTGTCTTCATTCTTGTAATAATTGAAGGCCATTAGTCCTGTTGAAAGGCAAGATGCCATGACTCAAGCATACTTTCAATATGTCTAAACGCTGAATGAATCAGTTCCAGCAAGAAATAAGGATACTTACATATTATCCTGTCAACCATGAAACTGCTACCAAGCAGCGCAATCGTGTACAAGTTATGGATAAGCTTGATGTTACAACATGCATATTCATTTGATGCAACATGCATGTTCATAACATCTGCATATTCATTTGATGCAACATTGGTTAATTCTCAATAAACCATCTTTTATATTCATAAGGGCATAAATTAACTGTTATTGCTGTGCATTTTTCCTTGCGTTTGGAGGTGAGAAAAAAAAAAAAAAAAAAAAAAAAAAAAGAGTCTATAGCATCACATTTGTAACTGCAATCTTATTCTTTTACATCTGGTTGAGAGAGAGTTATCTACTGAATAGGGGAAAAGAATAGCTGAACAAAACAGTAATTAATTAGAATAATCACCTGCAGGAAGTTTGTTCCCACAATATTCTAAACACAGCTTCCAGTAAAATCAAAAGCTCAAATAAAGTAATAGATATCCATGAAATCATTTTACAAAATACTTCTGCAATGGTGGACATTTGATGGATTATGTACAGAGACTGGCGATTGTTTTGTTGTAAGAGTCAGACTAAAGTTGGTTCAGAATTCCAGATCTCTGCCAATTTTTTATGATTCAGTGGTAGGTAACATTCACGGTCAACAGGATAAAACATAAGTATTGAAATAAGATATTCATGAAAATAATTCGGTACTTTTCCGTTTGGCCGGCGCAAATCTCGCCAAGCAGACTTTATTGGCGACAACATACAGTACACACATAAAAATATTTAAAAAAATGTTAGTTCTAAGAATTCTTTTTTTTTTTTGAAGGCATAAAACATTTTAATATTGCTTAAAATTTTATAAAAAGCTAATAAGTAAAGAGAATGGATTTGTAAAAAGACATTAATTTAAGAATTTACTATGCTTTCATGGGTTCAGCATCCTGATTCGCCGGTTCATATCACGTGACCCCAAGCGATCTCATCTCACGTAAACTACTCTACAAAAATCTAATGCTCTCAGTAATTATCTACATTAATTTCAAGTTAAATCTTAATCTGGAACACAAGTTTAAATGTAAGAAATATTTCAATTCGTACGAATAGCTTACTCAGAAATTATGTAAAACTGCAGTGCTTTACTTCGCTAATGCATTCTCATTAGAATTGATAAATTTAACCCTTGACTTTACCTTTTCTATATTTTCGGCTTCGGGTAAGCGCTGTGATTGCATCCTAATTGACTTAATTACTGAAAATGGCCTTAGACATAAAACTGAACTATCTGATAAAAATTCTATGTAATTATATGCCCGTATTGAAAGAAACGATCAATCTGATAAGAAAAAGTTTTGAAAATGAGGCGTAAAAGGTTAGCAGCGAGAATATTCCGTTTGGCATCGGTTGTACCATTATTGGCGATTTTATCGCTTGCGCCGGCAAAACGGAAAAGTACCAATAATTCATATAACTATTAACTTCATATAATTACTATTCATAATAAACTTCATATACTATTCATAATAAAACTTAAGAACTGGGTTACATTTTACATAAGACACTCTATGGAATACTTCTAATTCAGTTTTTAGTTACATTGTAAATACATGTAATATTTCAAATAATAGCTTACTTAATAAAACGAAATGATGTTTTTAATGAACAATTGTAAAAATAAATATTTATTTTACAAAGCAAACTATGGCTTATGTATGCTTTCGATCAAGATCTGATTTGGCTTTTCCAGTGTTATAGGGCATTTTCTTGTTAGTTGAGTCTTCAATATCTTTTGCTTTATAATAATGAGGAGCTACTTCTAAAAGCCAAACACCCTCTATTTCAATTACTTGCCGCATGAATTCTTTTGTTGTAAATACTAGTTCATGATAAACAAGCCATCGAGGTAAATCTTCAAATAACGAACTGTTTGGATGAATCATCACAGTTTGCTGCTGTTTAGCTGTTTTATACTGTCCACTTTTTGATAAACGAGCTGTATGATAAAAGTAGCCAGCTGTAATAGCTTTGCGAATAGCAACAGTATCTAAAGGATTTGATACCAGTTCAATTTCAACTCTATCCATGAGCCCTTCGATCTGTTCACGGACATCTCTGGCTCTTTTCATTGATCTGTGTTGAATGTAATTTTCAAAGCACCACTGAGTACTATAATCAGATTCTACCCACTGATTATACACATTTAGTAAAGTCAAATGATCTCCACCAGGACTGAAGAAATTTTTTCGAGCAGTATCTGCATGTACAATTTTATCTTTTGGTCTATAAAATATTGCATTATTCACTGACAGCATGGCTGCAATTGAAAGCACTTCTTCTGAGCATTTATACTGTTCAGATGCCAAGAGCATTTTTGACATCATAGGATCAACTGGAAATTCAGCCATTCTGCGACCTAACTTTGTAAGTTCACCTTGGTGGTTTAAACCACCTAATGCATATAACTGTTCTAAAGCTAAAACTAAACTTTCATGAGGGGGTGGGTCTAAAAAGTCAAAGTGCATAATATCATTTATACCTAATGACTTTAATAACAACACAGCATTTCCCAAATTTACTCGCTGAATTTCAGGGATTGTGTTATCTTCGAGTTCATGTTGATATGCCCATGCAGTATAAAGACGGAAACATTTACCTGCTGCAACCCGTCCTGCTCTCCCAGCTCTTTGATTTGCTGAAGCTTTAGAAATCGGCATAACAACAAGGGATTCCATTCCAGTACGAGCATTAAAACTATTCTGTTTACAAAATCCTGGATCAATCACATAAATTATGCCATCAATAGTCAAAGATGTTTCAGCAATATTTGTAGCGATGACAACTTTTCGAGAGCCCGGTGGTGTAGGTTCAAATATTTTAGCTTGCATATCTGATGGTAAATTTGCATAAATGGGTAATATGATAAGTTCCCGCATTTTAGAGCCTAGTTTTCTGGTCCTTTCTAGAAGCAACTCATTGCAAGTTTCAATTTCTTCCTGGCCAGTCAAAAAAACCAAAATATCACCCAGTGGTTGGGTGAAATGTATCTGTAGAATAGTTACAACACACGCATCAAGGTAATCAGCTTCAGGTGCTTTAGTGTAAAATATATCTACAGGAAATCTTCTTCCTGGTATTCTAAATATAGGAGCATCATCAAAAAATTGAGAAAATTTTTCAGCGTCTAGTGTTGCACTAGATATAAGTAGTTTTAAATCAGGACGAAAACGAGATATATCTTTTACTAGTCCAAATAATATATCTGTGTGAAGAGTACGTTCATGAGCTTCATCAACAATCACAACACTATATGATGCTAAATCTGGTTCTGAGAGGAATTCCCTCAGTAACATGCCATCTGTCATATATTTTAATACAGTTCTTTCTGAAGTGCAGTCTTCAAATCTAATACTATATCCTACTTCATTTCCTAATTTGACAGAAATTTCTTCAGCGACACGTGCTGCAACACTCATCGCTGCTACTCTTCTCGGCTGAGTACAACCAATTTTCTTTTTATCACTTGTGTACCCTGCTTCATATAAATATTGAGGAATTTGAGTAGTTTTACCAGATCCTGTCTCCCCTTCAATAATTAAAACATGGTGGTTCTTGATAGCTTCTAGTAAATCATCTCTAAATGGATAGATCGGCAGGCTTTTTCTTGTTTCCTGGATGCTTAATTGCTTTTTTTCTTGTTCAGATAGTTCTTCTGTGGGTTCTGAAACTCCTTTAGAACCAGGTACTGTTATAGATTGAACAAATTCAATTGCATCATCAAATACCAAATTATACTCCTTTTCTTTGTGTTTTTGTTTAGCATCTGCAGCACCAAAACGCATCTGGGCAAATCCCAGTCTCTCCTGTTCCCATTTCAACTGTTCTGCATTAGGGGCTTTTTCTCTTTCATCAACTTCTTCATATTTTTTACTTGGCTCTTTTCTTGAAGCTTCAGGAATATGATAGCGCTCAATTTTTTCCATTTCCTTAGCCTTATCATGTTGTCTGGCAAGTTCAAGAATTTTTTTCTTGTACTTAATCTCTTTCTGCTCTTTCTCTGTAAGTCTGACATCTGAAAATAAATATTCTTCATCTTGTATATCACCTTCCAATTCTAACAATTTATCTTCTTTACGTTTGGCTAAATATTCTCTTCGAGATTCAACTCTGAGTTTCGGAACAATTTTCTTTCTATCCTCAGCTTCAAGACGTAACCTTTTTGCTGCTTCTTCAAAAGCTTTCCTATCAGATTTTGATACAATATTTCTTGTTTTTTCTTTATCTTTTTTTTTCAAACGTGCAGAAAATTCATCTCTTTCTTTTAAGTCTTCTAACCTTTCTCGTTCCATTCGTTCGAAATCGCTTTCAGAATCGGATTTTCTTTCAGATTTAATATCTTTCTGAACTTCATTCTCAGGATCGCTGTCACTGCTAGATTCTTTCCTTTCTCGAAGACTTTTTCTCTTCTTTCCTTTCTTTTTCTCTTTAGGCTGGATAGGAGGGAGGTCATCATCATCAAAATCTATCAACTGATAGCTCATATTTTTCTTTAACGTTTCCAACACTTCTCGCTCACGTGCGCGAGCTGGTTTTTCTTTAATTTCTGCATGAGGTACTTTACTCCATAATTCACTAGCAAACTTAATTACATTAGAGTTTATAGATAACGTACCTGTTTCCTTTATCTTGTCAATCAAAATATCAACACTAGAACTTTTAGTGGCGAGGTTCAAAAGAAATTCAGCTGCATATTTATCGCTAAAACCTAATATATTATGAAGTTCATCGCTAACCCACTGCTGCACATCACCCATGTTTGTTGATGTTTAACTTTTGACCGTTACAGTTATAGCTAATTTGAGAGTTTATGTAACTAAAAAAAAAATTAAGAGTTTATGTAACTAAAAAAAAATTAAATATAACATAATGATTAATGTTAAATATTTATTTTTTATGTTTAAATTACTACTAACGAATTTTATCTAATACACTTTATATTTATTAAATCGTGAATTAATTATATATTGATATTTGTACGGCTTTTTAAACGACTGTGCTGTCATCTGTTGGCAGTTCAACAAACTAATTGTAAACATCAACAGTCCAAAACTGGAAAGGAGAGTAAAATATTTTGTTTACTTAGAAATTTTAAAAGGTTAAAAGTGTTCATTTTAAAATACGTATTAATAATTCATTAAGTAAATTGAGTATTCAATGAAATTAGACAAATCATTAATTTTTTTAAAATTTGTTTCCTCAAAATTAATGAAATAATAGAATTAGACAATGTTACTTAAAGTAAATTTTTAAAAGCATTAAAGAATGGGAAACCGAAATAACAATGTAGGAAGCAATAATCATCCTCCAAACTGTTTATTTTTCTAGCGCTTTCCTAAACAATATTCGTATAAAAGTATCAGATAAAAAAATATTAAAAAAAAAAAAAAAACCGTGTCTTTCTTCTGAGACGTATAAAAAGAAAAAAGAAAGTTGCCGTTTTTTATGATATAAAAATTTAATTAGTAGAGGAAAAAGATGATGATAATGATAGCAGTGGTATTCCAGTCATATACAAATATATGTGCTGTTTATTGTCAGAAAGGGAAAATGAATCAAATCTTGTTGGGTAAAACTTTGTGTATTTTGTTGAAATAAATAATAAGCTGAAAGCAAATATTTTCAGATATTCTATGATTATTTTTAGATCTAGATTTAGTTGTATATGAAAAGTAAGACTGATTATGAAATTTTTCACATTTAGACGTTTTCAGCTGTTCTATTCTCATTATCTGTCCTGTGTTACTTTACACAGTAGATTTCTGTCTCTGCTGTCTAATTTGCCTATTTCCGTTGTTGTATCTATTATTATTTTACTCTTTTTATTTGGTTAAATAAAATTGCCTGTCTTTATACTATCTGTATAAACATTTTTATTAATTTAGAGTGAAACAATAATATTTTACTTCTGCAAAGCACTTGGAAAACTAAAATATTTTAATGTTTTAAAAAAGAGGACTAAGAATAAAATCTCAGCATCAGATTATTGACTTGAAGATAAGTTATAATGTGGGTTAAAATTCATGAGATTTTGATTTCACATTCTCTTCATTTTGTGTAAATGCTTCATTTTAGATATCTATTTTGGTATTATTTTTACATTACCATTCTAATGCCATAAGTTATTTCACTTTTATGCAAATAAAAAAATGGTTGTTTATTATAGTATAAAAAATTAACCATTGTTGTATATTTGTTTCTAGACAGCTAAGAAGAAATTTAAAGGAAAAAAAGAAGTATGCAGTTTTTCAAAGGTAAGAGAACTTTTACCTAAGAAGGATATTTTTCTCTCTTTGTCTCTTAATTTTTTTTTGAAGCATGAAAACGTTTGGTGTTTTGGGGATGTGCATAAAATCGTTAAATGCTTTGGACTATTTTACCCTTTCATATGGCATCTTAAATTTATTTTTCAAATTCTTGATTCAGTTTGATGTTTTCTTTTTCCATCCTATTACTTTTGTGATAAATCAATTTCCATTAAAAAATTTTATGCATGTGAATGAGGTAGCATTACTCTGTTAAAGTATTCTGTTGTTATCTGTGTTTCCTGGTAAATATGGGCCTCATAAAAAAGGCATTGGAAAATGCACAATTTTGTTGTTTGTTTAACTGGCTCTGCTAAAGTGCAAGAAGCTATCTGCGTAAGGATAGTGATGTCTTTAAGAAAGATTTTCTAAGAAAAACCGGCTTCTGATTTTATTGCACATGGGAAAACTATTTGTCTTCTTGCAGCCAGCCCATCCTTTAGGCTTCAAACCTGGATCAAAAAAGAGTTTATTAGTTTTATTACTTGACTACTGTTGAGCCCTATGGAATGTATATAACTTATATAATCTTAGTGGAAAAACTCTATGAAAGTTAAATTTTCAAGATTTTAATTTAATTGTTACAAACTGTTCATATACATGTAAGCCTCATATTTTCATGCCAATACCAATTCACATTACTGTTTTAAATAATGTAAAAACTGTAAAACTTTATTTGAAGTTTTTTATTTATTCTTAAAATAGATATTTATTGAAATTTTTCTGCAGATTGATTCTATAATTAAAGAAGTTACAAATAGTCTAATAGAAACTGCATATAAGTTACATTTGTTGGACTGTTCTGAAATAGATGCTAGTGACTGGTTTGAGAACAACAGCAGATCTCGTGAAGCATCAAAAGAAATACCTGAAATGTGTAAGTTTTAAATTGTTTATTAGCTGCATTTAATATATTTTCAATGATGTAATATATGTCTGTATGTATGCATGTGCTTGTGTTTGTTCCACTCTTTTTTTTTTTTTTTTAATTGACATCTGTCTATTTTGCATTTTATGTAAACTACATCAAAATTAGGACAAAATTAGGAGTTACAATTCTTTCAACATATTCAGATTTTTTATGTTGGGTAAAATCCTAGGAGAGCCCACACCCTTGGCGACAAACTGGTAAAGTGCAGAATCACCCACTGCTTCGTTCATTTCTCAAAATTGCCAGCTTGAAAATAACAAGTAAAAAAATTGCACAAACTTGGTATCCATGTACACATCGACCTATTTTCACTTAAAAAAAAAATGCCTGAATTGCACAAAAATGGCATTGCGCATTCCTTTGACTTTATCCATGTACACATCGGCCTATTTTCACTTTAAAAACATCCCAGAACTGCACAAACTTGGCATTGCACACTCCCTTGACATTGTCCATGTACACATCGATATGCGCCAAGGGTGTGGCAGACTCGTAGCTAGGGTTTTCAGCGCCCAGGGACAACTGAAGATGTCGCGTCCCCTATGGCTTGCTAAGGATGGAAAACATTTAATTCTAAAATGTCGTAACATCAGTTTGGCACCCCTTGGATTCTGCGCCCGGGGACAGATGCCCCCCCTTGCCCCTCTCTAGCTACGCCCCTGGGGTGTGGGCTCTGCTAGGATCCAACCTTTATGTTGTTCTGCATGTATTTATAATTTTATTGCTGCTTTAAATATTTTTTTAAACCCATTCGCTATAATTTCAAATGTGTATGCTATCTATAACTTTGAAGTAATGTGTTATTCTTTTGTAGTATGTGAATTATAAAAATCAAAATAAGTCTTGTCAGCAAAAATTTTTAAACTATATGTGATATTTATATAAATATGATAATTTCTTTTGCAACTTTTAATATAATTTTTTAACCTTTTTCTCTAAATCTGGCCAACAATTTTTTAATAAATATATGTAAAATTTTAGTTTTAAAAAGTTGTTACTGAACAATAATTTTTGCAGTCAGTATCTTACTCTGTGAAATATGTTTAATGTTGGTTGGTTAATCATTTATTATAAAGAGCTTTGCATTAATTTGAGCAATTTATATACTTTGCATATATGTATGTGTAGTATTTATTTATGTTTATACCTTGAATTAAAAATGTTTTTATTAACTGCAGGTTTCCAAGGAGACTTTATTTATCATAATTCATGTAACATTCCTGTTATGAAAGTTTTGAGAAACAATAAATATATCCTTCCACCTAACTCAACTTTTCATCTGTGTGATATCAGCAATATCTCCTGTCTCAAAGGTAAATAAATAATAATAAAAAAGTGCACAACATATATAAGTGTCATTCAGCATAATTTAAAGCCTTTATGCTGTTGTTTGTTGTAAAAGTTTTTGTAATGTTGTGATTATTCTAAATCATCCATCGCGTCTATATATATTATATTTTAGATTAAGGAGACGGTGAAGAAGGATGGGTTTTAGTATATAGTGCATAGATTTTTTTTTTTTAATTCGCTGAAATTTGTCATGGTGACCACCTTTTGTCAATTCCAGCTTTTAAAAGCGGCCAGTTTTTCTGAGAATATAAATAAACATCAGTATTATGCACAATTTATTGATTTATGTGCCCCTTCCATTGGCTCTTTTCCTCTATTATCTTATTCTAAATAAAATAAAGTTTTAGTATGTTATTGAAAGGAGGATGGGATTAATAATTACCAGAAGTTACATTTGGCAATTTTCTGTTATTAGTTTAAAAAAAAAGAAATTCAATCCTTTAACACTGTAGATTCATTATAACTCTAATGGTCATATTTTTAGATAACAATGAAACTGTAGTAGATTGCCTTTGATTTGTAGTTGTAACTCTATAGGCTTGTATTTCAAATGAAAGTATTTTATTAGAACGAACACAGCTCATTTTAACTAATTATTTTATTGAGATTAAATAGATAGAATGAAAATTATTAGAATATTAAGCTTTGTGGGCCCTTCCTCTTCCTCTCATTTTTATGTGTTATTGCTTATAATATTGAGAGTAGACCTGTTAAAATATGCAGAAATACTGAGCAATTCAGTAACTGAGAGAAAGAATCTATTTCCATTCTTGGTATGTGCTGTTAAGGGATAATACATTTTGATTCATTTATTATTGTAGTTTTATTGTTGTAGATTTATTGTTGCTTTTTTTAGAATATTTTTTAGTATACACAGCTAATTGCAAATTTATCTTAACAATTTCTTATGAGCCTTTATTTTTTAGGTTTATTGCAATAAACTCGTACACTTTCAAATTAATTAGAAATTGTCCTTTTTTTTTTTTTTTTTTTTTCTTTTTCTTTAACTGCCTTGTTTTATCCAGTCTTATTACAGTAAGCCTGGATGAAATTTAATAAACAATAAGCCTGATATTTTCTCAATGCTTAGTTGATCTTTTGAATTACTAGTAGTGAACTTTTGAAAAAGTTACTTTTTAATTAGGTTCTTTATGAATAAGTTAAATTATCAGTTGCTTAGTAGCAGGTAATTAAGAAATGTACATAAACTACATCCTGTGACTTTTAGTTTTAAAGCATTTTCTGTACTGAACAAAATTGCACTGTATTACACAATCTGTACTTCCATTGCTATTCATCTAAGTAAGTAGCATATTTTCAGTATTCTGATTGCAATGCTAAGCTCCGTTGTCGTTGTTAATGTCACGGTCTTCCATGTACTGTTGTACAGTCAAGTCTCATAGCTGAAAGTTCCTTGATTATATCAGCTGTAAATTCACACCCATTGTCACACTACAAATTGAGAGGTCAAGTAAAGTCTAAAAATAGTTTCAGCAATTCCAGTGTAATTTTGTCAGCTTTTTTTTTTTTTTTTTTTTTGTTGTTGTTAAAGGCGAAGAATATAAAATTGTGTTGCATGATCATGTTTGTATACTCCTCAATGAATTAACAGAAAATCGACCATTCAGCTTCTGAATGTTAAAAATTTTTTGTAGTTATTTGGTCATATAAGAAAGTAATGGTATTGCTGAGATTTTTAAATATTGTAAATTCTACAAAATGAAAAAAATTTCAACTTTTAGTCTGAAAACATAAAATGTATTTTCCAACACAAGCACCTTTTTATCTTTACTGCTTATCCAGTTGTGTGGTAATACTGGTGAAGTATATCATAAGCATAAGTATTTTTCATCAAGAATTATTACTATTACGGGATTTGTTTTTCCTCTTTTTGTAATTAAAACTCTTTTTTTCTCTATTGTATTATACTTATTGTTTATCTCACACTGCTTACCAAAAGGGACAATTTGCTCAGAAGGGCTATTAATATCGTTTTGGCATTTTGCGTTGGTTCACTTATAAATGACGTTTCACTTTTCAGATTGTTGCCACCAAATATTAGAGCCCTGCCTTATAGTTAAAGAAATTAAAGAATGAAGAATCTGCATGATTGTATGCATCTTTCTCGCACTGTGAAAAAATGTTACATAGAGACATCAAATTTTGAATAACATAGTCCTCTACTCAAAAACTGGCATCTTGGAGCACAAATTTGGAATTTGTTTTGTTACCTTTTTCATATTTTGTAAAACTTTAATAAATTTCTTATTAACAAACTCAACGATTTCAAAGTGAGCAACGGCAACACTGTACAAAAAAAAAAAAAAAAAAAAAAAAAAAAAAAAAAAATCGTCTCCAGCACGCGAGACTGTGTATTGGAAATTCTAAAGATATGTTCTTTTAAAATTATTTTATGATATTGTTGTTGATTGAATTTTATGGTTTAAGTGTGAGGAACATATATTTAATAAATAAAGGTAACATTCAAAATGTTAAAATAAAAAAAAACTCCTTCAGGCATAATATAAAACTTGAAATTTATATATATATATATATTGAATTGTTTGAATGTTGATATTTTATGAATAGCTTCATTTGTAATTCCATTTTCCTTACACTGTAATTGTTAGTGATGCTGGCTGCAGTACCAATAGGCCCGGGTTCAAATCCCAGAGAAGAGATGGATGTTTGTAAATGTATAGTGTCTGTGCGGCATGGAGACACTTGGAACATATAGTGAGCCTAAAGTCCTCTCCAACGGTTTATGGTAGGAGAAAAGTGTGGAAGACCCTTGGATGCATTTCCCAGGGTGCTGTGCCTGAAAACTGGAATGGAACTGCTCAAAGTCAAATTGTCATGTGCTTGGTACTCAAGGCTCATGTCGGTGATAGATGCAGTCTTATACTTCTTGCCATGATAAAATTTATAGGCTTGTTCTGATTATATCAGAAAGGGAGATTAGCTACAGCAACAGCAATATGATTCCATTAGCCCATCACTTTTTAACAACATCCATCACTCTTGTTATTCCTTCATATTTTTTCATTAAAGTATACCTTTGTGTTATAAAAAGTCATTAGCTTCTTGATCACTCCTGCTATCACTCCATATTATGTTGTATTTTTTTTTTTTTCTTTTAAAGTTTTTAAAGTTGTTGATTTTGATGATGATAATATCTTTTAAATAGTGCTAAAATAAAAACACATAATTTCACTAAGCAGAGAACTGCATAGAATAAAAATCATGTGCACTTGGAAACAGTTTAACTGCTACTCAGTAGTGTGAGCAAAAAAGATGAGAACTCTTCACCAACTGTTAGTGTTCAAATTTCAACAGGCTTTTGACTCAACTGCAGCATTGTTCACAATGTGCAATGACCAATATGCAGCATGAAATAAAGCCTATTAAATAAATCTGGATGAAACCATGCTGTTTGAGGAAACATTTGTGTACTTCTCAGTTAGCCTGAAAGATCATTACAACAAGCCTAAATATCAAGCTTATTAGCCCAGAAGAGCTGTTAGTCTGCAAACAACATTTTCCAATGAATTACTTAAATGCAATGTATCTCTTTTCAAATTGTTGCCACCAAATATTATCACCCTGTATTATTTTTAATAATAAAACTAAATAATGAAGAATCTGCATGAATATAAGCATGTTTCTCGCTCTGTGAAAAAACAACGGTACTTAGTTTCATCAGATTTTGAATAACAAACCCTTTCATCCGAACATAGGCACCTGAAAACCTGAATTTGAAATTTGTTTTATTATCAGTTTCATATATTGTAAAACTTTAAGGAATTTTTTATTAAAATTTCAACAGTTTCAAACCGAGCAGTGGCAAAACTATAGGGAATAAAACATTTTTATCTCCAGCATGCAAGACTATCTATTGGAAACTCTAAAGATATCCTGTTTTTAAATATTTTTAACCCAAATACTCTAGAAACATGTATGTGTCTGTAAATGAAAAAATCACCCATTTGGGCATAATATAAAATCTAAAGCTTTTCAAATTTTATTTTTCTATTTATTTATTTATTTATTTTTATAGTTGGTAATCTTCCAATTAGCCAAATAAATTGCATTAAGCCAGATTTTTCAATTAGTTTATGGCATGTTACATATACAGTTTGTAACAATTTGTAACATACTTACACATATTAAAAATACTTCTGTGTGGTCATTATCGAAAAGATATCAGAATCTAAAGATAATAAGTATCATAAAGATAATAACTATCATAGTGTTTAAAGTTTTATTCTTATTTTTTATTGTTTATGTTAAAGGAATTTTGAATATTTTCTTAGTTCTAAACTAGATGTGGATTCCAAGGTAAATTTTCTATTTTATTGGTAGGTGTATAAATTGTTCAATATATACTGTTATAAAATTTTGTGGAAGAGAACAGATTGATCCTTTCTCTTAAGTCTCACTTGTTCCAATTATATGGAAAAAATAATAATGTTGCTGTTAAAAATAACCATTATAAAGTTTTGGAACCCAAATTAATGTTTTTAAAAATTTGGTCTATCTTAAATTTTTTAAGTAATTCATAAGTATTTTTATGTGAGCAATTTTTAGTTTCCTGGTATCATTTTTGACATATTCTGTAATGGCTGAGTAAATCAGTAATCCATGGTAGTGCAGTTACTTTAATTTAGTGCTGCGTATTTATAATGTTAAAGATTTGAGGAATTTGGAATACTAGTTTAAATATTCCTGCTCCAATTATAGATTATATCTAGAAATCCTTTTCCCAAGTGTGTGAGAAATCTGCTCATGAAACAGTTTCCATATTTTTATTGGCTTTAGTCAGCCAGCTCTGTTTTACACTATCTATCCAAAATGTTCCAAGATTTGATTAATTTGAAGTAGAGAAAACTTAAGATGAAGATTGAAAGTTTTAATGTTTTATGTGTTATACATAACCCTCCCCTACTTGAGAACAACACACAGA